AAAGTGGTACTAATACTTTCACTCTCTGAGGAGGAAAAGTGAGATTCTTGACATGGTCCTAGAAAGCCATGTAGAGAAGAATATATGTCAATAAAGTTCACTCCCTAACTGTTCTTGCTAGGTATAATTACAGATTGTACAGTTATAGAGACTAATTTGATTTTGTACTTAACAAGGGCAGCAAGATTGTTGGTGGCGCAGTACTGAAAGAAGGAAGANTAGATGGATAGATGGTAGGGTAGACAGACGGACAAGTGGACAGATAGGCTGATGGCCTGACAGAGGAACAGACCGACAGACAAACAGGTTTTCAGGGTCTCATCATGTAGAGCAGAAATCTGGAGTACATGTGTCCAATTTCCCGTTCTCTTCTCATCTGGACTTTGCCACAATAATTCGCTTCACTTTTTTTAAAAAAAATTCTTCAATCCGCCAAGCATCTAGTGGAAGTCTTGCGCAACCAATAAATTCTGTAATGGGGAGAATTTACATTAAAAATCGAAATGAACACTTTGAAGCTGTTACTAGGCTAGCCTATTATACAGGTAGTCCTCGACTTACAACAGTTTGCTCGGTGACCCTTAGAAGTGGCAACAGCACTGAAAAAAGTGACTTACAACCATTTTTTCGCACACTTGTGGAATATTGCAGCATCTCCCATGGCCACGTGATCAAAACTCAGATGTTTAGCTACTGACTCATATTTATGACGGTTGCAGCATCCTGAAGACACATGATCCCCTTTTGCAAACTTCTGACAAGCAAAGTCAGGGGGAAGCCAGCTTCACTTAACAAACATGTTACTAATTTAACAACCGTGTTGCTAATTTAACAACTGCAGTGATTCAACAGTGGCAAGAAAAGTCGGAAAATGGGGCAAGACATACTTAACAAATTCCTCATTTAGCAACATAAAGGTAGTACTCAATTGTGGTCCTAAATTGAGCCCCCCCCAGTATTAGAAGTTTAGGTGGGAAAGCCTTTTTAGATCCAGGATGAGCCAACAACTTAGAAAGTTTTTCTTTGAGTCCTGGGATAACATGCTTAAAAAAACCTTTTGGGAATGGAGACTCCCAAGCTGCTAAGTGGTAAGCAAGCAAGTAGAAATGGAAGGAAATGGCTTATGATGGTGAGCAATATCTATTAAACTCTGTATTACACACACTTTATTTTTAAGAGATCCTGAGATTCATCTTCATTTCAATAGCAGTTAGACTTCCATACCGCTTCATAGGGCTTTCAGCCCTCTCTAAGTGGTTTACAGAGTCAGCATATCGCCCCCACAATCTGGGTCCTCATTTTACCCACCTCGGAAGGATGGAAGGCTGAGTCAACCCTGAGCCGGTGAGATTTGAACAGCCGAACTGCAGAACTGCAGTCAGCTGAAGTAGCCTGCAGTGCTGCATTTAACCACTGCACCACCTCGGCTTATTTCAAGGAAGCATAAATTCCAGGGAACGGTTAGGTAAGGATTTAATCTCCATTCTTATTTAATGAAAAGAATAACATCGCTGATACTGTGGCCTGGATAAATAGATCATGCTAGGGCAGTCTATGAATCACACAGTTTTTCATGTTTTTCTTTGGGTGCTACTCGCATTCCGATAGCACCATCTAGTGTACAATATCGAGAGCATTGAGAACAGCTGCCAGAAGTCTTGATGTCTCATCTTTTTGGACAAGACAACTAGTGAAAGGCTTTAACTTTTTATCTTAAAAAAAAAGAAACAAGGAACCACATAAGCCCCCCAAATAAACTTAGGGCAAAATGCAATGTCCCAACCCCACCAAATATAACTGCTCTATCCAGGGGTGGGATTGAAAAATTTTAGCAAGTGGTTCTCTGTCCAGTTGCTGGGTGAGCGAGGCATGGCCTCCTCATAGTGGTAGTGGGGGCATTTTTACCCTCCCCAGATTCCAGAGGCTTTCCTAGAGCCTTCAAGAGGGCAAAAACAGCCTTCCCCGGATTCTGGAGACCTTCCAGAAGCTGGAAATGGTCCTGTTTCCGGACTTCCAGAACTTACGGTAGGCCTGTTTTTCGCCCTCCCGGAGCCTTCATGCATGCTCTGTACTTATCTGCCATGATGAATGGGCCACGTGGAGACTCCTGGAAGTGGTGGGATGGGTGGGGCCAGCCAGTCCTTGAAAGAACTAGTTCGGTGAACCAGAAGCAAAATTAGCATCCGATTCGCCCGAACCGGCTGAATTCCACCTCTGGCCCTATCTATTTCTCACTTCGGCGTCATCTTCTCTAGCCCTTGATCTCTCACTCTCCAACTGTGGGGTTGTCCCTTGACTATCTCTGGTGTAACATTTCTATATGTACAGTACATCCTGGCCGCAGAAACAGTACATATTTTCCAGAGGGCCTCTGGCTAATTCAGGTCAACTGCGTCCTTTGATTCTGAGGGTTTTGTGTTTGTGTGCGTTAATGATAACTCCGCTGTTTGTTTTGTCAAGACTCCAAAGAAGTTCGGAGTTGAGGAGAAGAAGGCTGCAAAAGCTGTTCGATGGAGGAGAGGCAACAGGATGTTCTAGGGTGGAAGAGAGATTGGCCACAAACGGTCATAATAGTAGTGTAGTCTTCATTGTCACTGTACAAAATAAATACAACGAAATTGCAAAGTAAAGTAAAGGATATAAAAGTAAAATAAAAAAAAATAAAAGTAAAGAATGGACAGAGAGTAAACCAGGACCCAATTTATGCAAGCAGCACAAGTTTGCAAAGTGCAAGCTGAAATCCAGAATCTCTGGATTCCTCTCCTCCCCCCCATTTCCCCCTTTGTGCTATCATGGAGTCAGAGCTGGTTGCTTAAAGGAGAACCAGGTGTTGTCATAAAGAGGCAAAACAGGGAAAGAAGGTAACTTTTATTTTGTTATTAAATCTATTTATTTATTAAATTTATATGCCTCCCACTTCGCTGTTTGAGGTGACTCTAAGCGGCTTAAAGGTAAAGGTTCCCCTTCCACATATGTGCTAGTCGTTCCCAACTCTAGAGGGCGGTGCTCATCTCCGTTTCAAAGCCGAAGAGCCAGCGCTGTCCGAAGACGTCTCCGTGGTCCAGTGGCTGGCATGACTCAATGCCGAAGGTGTACAGAACGCTGTTACCTCCCCACCAAAGGTAGAGCCAAGGTGGCGCAGTGGTTAAATGCAGCACTGCAGGCTACTGCTAGATCAGCAGTTCAGCGGTTCAAATCCCACCGGCTCAGGGTTGACTCAGCC